CCACACAGAGCCTAGGATCCCAGCACTCTTTTCTACTTTAGGCATTTAGGCAACGGCGGGCTGACTGCCGACAGCTGATGGTCATATATTTTGCAATTCTGTGACACGATTAAGCGCAGCCATTTTAAAAGTTAAAGTATATACGTTTACAATTAACTACATTAAAAACAAAGGTGATATTCATTCATCACTTCCTAATTATTTCACTGCATTTTATTATTGTTTATACTCTTGAGGTTTTTTTTTTTGTTTTGTTTTTAAAGATTTTATTTTTAAGTAATCTCTACACCCAACGTGGGGCTCGAACCCAAGACCCCGAGGTCAAGAGTCCCGCGCTCCACCGACTGAGCCAGCCAGGTGTTCCTGTGCTCTTGAGTTTATTTACATCTTCTGTATCTTGTATGGTGGAAACGCTCTATAATTCTGTGCACGTGTATCTTCCCGATTCGGTGTTCAGGGACATCGGCCACAGTGGGAGTATTTACACCACGGAAATTGGTGAACATTGCACGTCAGGGCTTGATTTATTGTTTTGCTGACTTAAGCGAGGGATGAGAAAACGCTAATAATGCAGATTCAACTTCCCAGCGTGCCACATCTACGACCATCACATTGTCACTAGAACACGGACCTGAGAAAATAACTCTAAATGGGATATTCTCAAAAGAAAAAACTATTCTCCAATTCGGCCAAGAAGCTGCAAGTGACATTGACCAACTAGAGTTTTGACAGATGTCTTTTTGTTTTACTCGTGAACATAAACCAAACTGTCAACCAACATGCACGGCAGAACGACACTCACTTGTCAGTTAGCTGTGCATACAAACGTTCGGAAAAACCAATGAAAGTCACAGTCAATTCCGAGAAAAGGCAATGTGCTATATATGTGGAATTCACAATAAAAGTTATATATTTTGTACTTGTACACCGTGTCCTACACATCCTTTCGATCAGTAAAATTTACGGTAAACGTACGTTAGTGTGTATGTGTTTACATACACGTGGATTTTTCTGTCAAACGGTTACCAGACCACTGTCCCAGGCAGACGGAGTGTCCCCTGGGGGCCACTGGAGGGTCCCACATCCCGCGGGCCTTGGCCTGGTAAACACGGGCAGGATTTCTCTGTGCTTAGGGAGTGACCCTGGGGGCCTGCCCGTTGGGGATCCCATTCCCCACCGGCCCTCCTTCCCCAGGGTGGTGTGGGAGAAGGGGTCCACGTGCAGAACGTCCCATGGGGGCTCACACACAGGCTCTGCAGTCAGCCGGAACCGAACTCAAGTCCCACCTCTGACATCTGCAGCTCAGTTGACCTCGGGCAAGTCCCATAACCTCTCATAGCTCAGTGGCTTGTCTGTAAAATGGGCACAGTGATCACGTCTACCCGCTGGGTACATTAAATACGAGGACGCATACGAAATGCCTCACACGGGTTCCGCTACGCTCCCAGAACGTTAGCTGTTCTCTGAAGCCACGGCAACCAGAAACCTGCCCCGAGCCCCCACAAAACAGCCCCCCGGCCTCACCTGCGAGATGTAGCCCGGGGGGATATGGCTGTCCTCCTGGGGCCTGGGTGCACTCTGAGGGGCCTCTCCTTGAAGGCGCCATGCCTCCAGCTGGGCGCGGAGAGACTGGACCTACAGGGGGAGGAGGCGAGGTCAGCGGGAACCTGGAAGCCGGCAAGGGTCTGGTGGCAGGCAGTGAGGAGCTTTGGGTCTGAGAAAGGGAGGTGGCCCGCGGCCGAAATGCAGGCCAAGGGGACATTCCAGCACTTTCCTGGATGGCCAGGTCAGTGACCCAGGAGAACTTTGTCCCAGAGAAGAGTAAACGGGGTTGGGAGCAGGACACTGTGATCACAGATATTTATCCCCGCAGGCGGCAGGGAAACGTCTGAGCCTCAGTTTCCCGCCAGGACAATCAGGACAAGGTCTACCCTCTGGGACCACGCGACCGCTGTGAGGGTTACATGAGCCAATGTAGGTAAAGGAGGCCTAGGACGAGGTATTCAGAAGATGCCTAATAAGTGCTCTCTCCCTCCTCTCCCCTTCTCTTTGGTTGCGGAGGACAAGACTAAGGAGGGAAAAAAAAAAAAAAAAAAAAAAAACACCCCAAAAGAAGAAACACCGAGGTCCAGGAAGCAAGATTCCGGTTCACGGGAGTCTGGGGCACCACACGGTGAATCAGGGGTGAGCTTCCCGTCACTTTAGGAATGCAAGATAAATGCCACAGCGCGACGGCAGGGACAGGCGGGGCGCTGGTGGGGCGAGGGGGCTCCCCGAGGCCGGCCGGGATGCCTACCTCCTTCTCCAGCGCCTCGTGGCTGTCACGCGGGGGCCCGCGGCGCTCCCCGCGGCTTTGGTTGAGCAGGGCGGTGAGAGGCACCCGCTTGTTTTCCCGCAGGGGCAGCTTCTCCAGCTCCTGCCACTTCTTCTCAATCTCCTCACTGAGGCGGCTCTGCTGGTCCTCGGTCAGGGGGGCCCCCAGGCCCCGGCGCGGCGCCTCGCCGGTCGGCGTCTCCACGGGCCTGCCGTCCGTGGCCTCAAACCACTTGCGACGCTCCTCGGAGCGCTGCGCCAGGTCCCGCTCCAGCTCCTCCTGCTTGGCCGGGCGGTCGAGAGCGCGGGCCGGGGTGCGGGCCCGCTGCGGGGAGCCCTGAGTCAGCGGGGCGAGCTCCACGTAGTCCAGGGACTGCCGCTGCCCGTCCGCCTTCCGCGGGCCGCCCCGACCGATGACCTCAGAGCCCACCCGCTGCTCCCCCGCCTTCAGGGAGCCCTTCTGGGTGCTGTGCGGCGTGTTCTCCTTATTGCAGTCCGAGAGCCTAGGGTGCCAGCAGAGCCCCGTCAGGAGGGACGTGTGACGCTCAGCCCCCAAGCCTGCGCTTCTGGAGCGCCACCCGTGTGCCAGGGCCCGGGGACAGACCCCGGTGGGGGAAGCAACCCAACCTAGAGGTTACAACTAGAGATTCATCATTAAAGGACCCTGGGAACCATCCCAGCTCTAACGCTTAGCAGCAGAGGGACCAGGAGAGCTGGCTTCCCTCCTTGACCCTCAGTGACCGCATCTGTAACATGGGACAGCGGTGCCTCTCACAGGATGGACGTGAGCACTAGGCGAGTGAATGTGCCCAAAGCAACCGCGAGCCCTTCGCTAAGGCTGATCAAAGTGTTATTACAAAGGTGCGGTTTGAGGCAGGGTCCTGGGTTCAAGAGGCTCACAGTGGAAAGGGGAAGATGCCCACGGTCACAGTTGAGGGGGTGAACAGTGACCTCTGGGTGCACAGAGCACGAACAGTGGCAGTCGGCCCCTTCTTCCGTTACTTGCCCAGGCAAAAACTACACCTCCCGGCGTCCCGTGCAGCTGTGGGGCCACGTGACTACATTCTGCCCAGTGGTGTGAGAGGCAGTACCCTTTCCAGGACCAAACGTGCCCTGGCCTGGCCCCTGGCTGGGACTCCGTGAGGACAGAGCCAAAGGTGGGAGTCGTGGGCCACGGAGCTGCCCCACCAGGCCTGGAGGGCACACCTCTGGATTGTTCTGGAGAGAGAAAGAAATCTCTCCCTTATTTATGCCACTGTGTTTGGGGCTTCTTTGTTACAGCAGCTGAGACTACAGACTAAGTAACGGTCAGGCTGCACAGACCTGCAGAGTCTACAGAGGGCTCCTGGGCACATCCCTCACGTGAAGGAGGGGCCACACTCAGCGTGACAGATACGGAATGTGAAACTCAGACAAGTAAGTCACTGGCCGGATGCCGAATAGCCAAGGTATGGCCAGGTTGGGGGGCTCGTGCCGGGGGCCTCCCAATACCATACCCTGTTCCTGCTGTCCCACAGCTGCAATTCCCCGCCCCCCGCACAGGCGGCTAGGGTTCACACTGTATGCGGGTTCTGCCACCAGCTTACTCAGCCCTCCTACCCTCTAGTCACCTCCAGAGGGTGAGCTCCCCATCCAGACACCCTCTGCCTAACAGGCTTAGATGTAGCGGAGGGGGGTGAGGGGGGCGTCTTTGACTCACTGGCATCTTCTCCAAAGAGTCAAAGCCCCTTCCCACCTTTCAGGATGTCGCAGAATACAAAGGCATGGCAGTCAAACCTCAAATCCTCAAAGTATCTTCAGGGGGGTGCCAAGAACGCTCACTGCCCTCTCTCCATTTTGTTGATGGAGAAACTGAGGCCCGGGAGGCACAGCCGCGGGGCCCTCTGGCGTGTGCCAGAACCCCACTCAGGGATGCAGGAGGAAGCGCCTCCCTCAAGGTCCCGCTCCAGCTCGGCACATACTTGGTGACATCCGGGGCAGAGGTTGGCCGCACGGTCTTCCTCAGAGCCTCGATCCAGTTTCGCCGGATACCCGAGGTCATGGCCGACAAGGTGTAGACAGCATCCTTGGTCTGCAAGTCCACCCCACGGGCAGGTTGCCACACGGCCAGCCCCACCGCTCCCTCGCCACCGTGCACCCCCAGGGAGGGTGGCCCGTCCCCCCCAGGAGGGCATCTGAGGTCCTGCGCCTGGGGATGAGCTCCCCTCCGCCAGCTGGCTCCAAGGTCTCCCCAACGTTCAGCCCCAGTGATAGCCGGGGTCTCCCCAGACACGCAAAGTGCCAGCGGCAGAGCTTCTGACTAGCTCTGAGGACAGGGGCTATAGGTGAACGAGGGAAGCCCATCACCCCCGATCAGGCCCCCCCCCGCCCC